AATTTTTAAGAGGGGTTTTTAGAGGAGTTTTTAATTATATTTTAAATTAGACAAGTTAAATATTTCATTTTAATTAATTTTAAATTTTGTGTTGTTATTGGTGTTTTTAATTGATTGTCAGCCGCCCTGAGTCCGCAAGGAGAAGGGCGGGATATAAATTCGAACAATAATAATAATAATAATAATAATAATAATAATAATAATAATAATAATAATAATAATAATAATAATAATAATAATAATAATAATAATAATCCACATAAAATATTCCAAATGCCAATTAGAGATTTGCAGTCCTGGATTTGTGTTTGTTTTTGATGCTCTTAGGGGCCTAGTGGCTCAAGAAAGCAATACAACATAATAGTGGAATATTTATCTGAAATGTTTGTAGCTGCAATAGCTATTGATTTAGGATTTCATACAGGGTTCGAGTAGATGGCATACTTGGTAGAAGGCATAAAAAGCAATAAAGATTCCTGTAGCATCTCAAAAATGAAGACTTTCATTGTGATAGATCTCACCAGGTGGGAGCAATTGGTTTATCTTCTTTGGGTTCAGAAATTAAACAGGTTTGGGTCTGGTTAATACTTTAATGGGAGAATCCCAAAGAATCCTAAGCCTATAGGCATACTGGAAATAAAAACAAAAAAACCCAAGATCCTGGAAGAAAGTACTGTAATGTATTTGTGCCAAGGAAATTTTATCTATATATCCACCTAGAAACAAGGAGGTAAGCTTGATTAGAAGGCATCTTTATTTTCCTTTGTTACTATAGCATACAGTGAAGAAATTTAATGCTATAATAAATCTTAGTCTTAAACTTGCTGCAAGTTTTGTTTTGTTTTGCTGCAATGACTAACATGTTAACTGATGTTTCAGAAATTATATTTGAAATGTGATAAATATCTCCAGAGGACTGAAAAAATAAACCCATCTGGGTGATAGATTATTCTAAATTTTACTTTTAAAATCTAAATTGAAATAGTCCTACAAGGTAGGTATTTGGTGGATCTCTCTACAGTTGAGACATTCCTCAGTTGGGAGACTGCCACAGAAAAAGGTTGTTCCTGAGGAACTATAGCTCTAATTCTAGAAGTTGATTACCATGTTTCCCCGAAAATAAGACCCGGTCTTTTTTTTTTTTTTTTTGCCTCCAAAAGAGGCACCAAGTCTTATTTTTTGGGGGGGAGAGTGTCTTTTCCATGGTCTCACCTCACGGCAGCAGCATCGACAGCACCGCCCAGCCGGCCCACTTTGTCTGTGGCTGCTTGCCACTGCTCGAGCGCATCGCCCCCAGCCTCCATTTTGCTGCCAGAGGCTTCAGGAAATGCCTCTGCAGCTGAGAATTCACACGTATACCGTCAGAGGCCTT